AGATGTGGGAAGGTGAGAGGATTCACCTGAGACAGAGTGGGGACCAGAACAGGCAGACTGAGTGAAATACACTGCTGAGGGGCACAGAGGGTGAGTCAGGAGAGGTCTGCCGCGCCATGTGGGTTGCTCCCTGGCGGGCTGGGAATCAAACTCGTGCTGCAGAAGCTGCGGTGCTTAACCCCTTGCACCACCAGGGAGGCCCTCTTCTTTATGTCCTTTAACTGATCATGTGTGTATGTACTTTGAAGTTGTGCTAAAAGTTACTTTAAAACCGAAATTGTTCGCACCCCCTTCTCCAAGTCTCCTCAAGGAAGCGCTTCATCACCACCCCATCCTACCAGAACCGCAAGGCAGTCTCCATAACATTTCCCCAAATCCCCAGAAGAAGACACAGAGCCCACCAGTCCCCACAGGTCGCCAGATTTAGCAAATCAAGAACACCGTTCCATTCGAATTGGAGACAAACACCATTTTTAGACTAAGTACGTCCCCAACACGGCCAGGGGCACGCCTGTCCAAAATAACCATCTTCCCAAAAACCTCACATTCCCATTTCCCTGGGCGCTCCGCATTTCCTCGGGCAACCTCACAGCCCCCTCCCTGCACCCCAGGCCCAGCGCGGGGGGCAGCTCGTGGACCCCCAGGCCCCGCGGGCCGCGCCGCTCCCCCTGATTGGCCGAGGCGCGCCCGCCGGCCGCAGGCGTCACGCAGCCCCGGCCGCCCGGGCCCCGCCGCCGCCCCGGCAGCCCGGTCGGCGCAAGTGCGGCGCGCGCGGCGGAGGGGGGCGGGGGCGCGGCGGAGCGCGAGGCTGGCGTCGGGCCGCGGCGGCCGGGCGGGATGAAGTTTCGCGGCTACGCGTGAGCGTCCGCGCGCGCCGGCCCCGGAGCTCTCGCCGGGCCGTTACTGCGGCGGAGAGGAGCGCGGCCGCGAGCGAGGCGGAGCGCCGGGCCCGACGCGGCCGCCGCGAGCCGGGTAAGCGGCGCCGGGGCCCGGGCCGGGAGGCCGAGGCGCGCGCCCGGGGCGCGGCGCGGGGCGGGCGGGGTGCTCGCGCCCCTCCCCGCGGGCCCGGCGGCGCGGGGAGCCGCGGCGCCTGAGGCGCGGCGCGAGGGCCGGGTCTGGAAGTTTCCTCCGCGCTCGCCCGGGCGGCAGTCCCGGGGCGTCCCTGCGCGCTGCCCCCTCCCCTCTCGCTCCCGCTCACTCTAAACCCCTTTAAAAGTTTTTCTGGCCCCGTGCCCGGCGGGGCGCCGTCATGGTGTCCGGGAGGGGAACACCCGGGTCGGCCGCCCCCGGGCGCCGGAGCCTGTTGCGCGCCGCCGCTAGTGGCCGCACCCCGGGCCGGACACCCCCTCGGGCGGGGGGCGGGGGACCCCACACTGCGTCTCCAGCCCGGGCAGCGGGAACCCCGAGCGCGCCGCTAGCTGGTACCCGCCTCCCCGACACCCCCACGCCCGGCGTTGCCAGCGCCCTTTCACCCGAGGCTCCGGGGGGGGGGGAGCTTTGCGCTCTGGCTTCGCCCGCCCTCCCCCGAGCTCCCCGAACCCCCGAACCCCTGCGCCCCCGCACCCCGGGACGCCTTTGTCTGCCGAGTCGCAGCCCCCGGATGCCGGATGTTGCTAGGGCAGCGGCTTTCGGGAGACGCCGGTGGCTGGGGGAGTTGGGTTGAGTGGGGATGGTGTCAGTTTTTGCTCGTCTTTGCAGACGTGCAGAGGCCGGGCTTTCCCGCAGATCTCGTGGAAATTGGAAACGGGACTGAGGAGAGGAGGAGGGGCCGGGCGAGAGCGGGGGATGGCGGCCCCTGCTCTGAGGCGGGGAGCCGGGGGGCGGCGGGGTCTCTTCGTCCGTCTCCATCCATTTCTCTGTTTGGCTGCAGAGGTTGCTCTGCTTGGGAAGAACCGGTGTGGGCGCTGCGTGCCTTCTTGGGTGGGGAGGGGAGAGTGGGTGTCGGCTCCTGTTGCCTTGGTGTGGTCAGATAAGAGACCAGCACTTCAGGGGCCTCCCTGGTGGCGCAAGGGGTTAAGAACCGCACTGTGAAGCTATCCATGGCCTCTGCAGCACTGAGTTCGATCCCCGGCTGGCCAGGGAGCAGCCCTCATGGCGCAGCAGACCTCTCCTTACTGGCCTGCTGCTCCCCTCAGCAGTGTATTTCAGTCAATCTGCCTGTTCTGTTCCCCACTCTGCCTCTGGTGAAGCCTCTCAACCCCCTCGCACGTCTGGCCTGTGCCCCAGCTCTTGTATGCATAAATAAATAAATCTTCAGAGAGAGAGAGACCGACCAGCACTTCAACCTGGAAGGAAACCGCTCCTTGTTCTTTCAGTGTCCAGAGGGGAAGAATCTGAAAATCGGGCAGGCTGCCATCAAGCGCTGGTGACACCTAAACGTTCCTTTGTGTTTCCAGAGACGTTCTTCATTAGGATACCTTTTATAGAATAACTAATATCAAATCTGAGACTTGGAGTTTTTCCGTGATGAAGTTGAATCTAAGTGACAAGTGAACTTTTTTCTAAGGGTTGAATCATACAGATTTATGTGATTGTGTGTTTTAAAGACACAAAAATTCTTTGGTTTGGACATCTAATATACAGTCCAAACCTGTGGAGAGATGCACCTGGGCTTCTGCCTGGGGGTGTGGAGAGGGGACTTAAAGTGTGGTGAGAATTATCTCCTCTGGAATGCCCAGATTTCCTGCTTGCTTGAAAGGCCAGTTTACAAGTGGGCTGGTCCAGTTGTATGGGGCTCTGCCCAGGGTTCACATTAGGAACTTGAAAGCAGAGGTCTCAAAATGTTAGGGGTCTGGACTTTGTAGCCTTTTTTTTTTTTTCCCCTGAGGTTTTGGAAGGAGTGGTTTGTGCATATTCAAATACTGAAGCAAAAGGATTATTTCGGGACCTGTGAAATACCAATGTCTATAGTAAAGTTTTATTGTAGCACAGCCACAGTCATTTCTATTGTCTGTCTCACTCCTATTATCTGTAGCTGATTTCATAGCTATAGTGGCAGAGTTGAGTAGTTGCATAGCTGAGATAGAGATGCAATATAGCCTTTAAATTCTGAAATATTTACAATCTTACTCTTTACCAAAAAAAAAAAAAAAAGCCACCACCAGTGTTGCCAATCACACGCGTTGCAGACCAAGGCTGGGCTTCAGATAAGCCTGGCTTAAATACTACTACATCTTTTGATGTGTGTGTCATTTAATATCACTGCCTTTTAGGCCCCGTTTCTGGCGGTCCCCCAAACAGGCAAGGCTTTTTTCCTAGTAGAGGGACAAGTTTAGTCGTGTGTTGAATTATATCAAAGTTTCATTCTCAAAAAGTTTTCTTAATATTTTGGTGTCTTTCTTAGAATTTAGTGTAACGTGGGATTTTCATTGGTGAATCTATGTAGTTTTATAAGTTTATGTTATTTTAAGTTTACTGTGAGCCATATTTCAGGGCGTTCTTCGGTGAGTTTTAGTGTCTTCTAGCTGCTCTGTTACTGGGAAAGAGTGAGAACTGAGTCTTGTTTGTTTTCCCCACTTGGGAAGGGAGAGGCCATGGCTAGGGGGTGTCTTTAAGTTCCTTTCTGTAGACAAGTTGTCATTGAGGCAAAGACAGTTCTTGGAGCCTCTTTGAGTCTTCACTCCTCTTTCCTACCTCATTTGCTTAAATAGGTTATGTTTATTCTCAGCATCTCTCTCACTGATAGCTCATATGTGGACCATACCTCTTAAATGTGTTCCTTTTTTCCTTTTGTTAGGGTATTTTTCATGGCTCCCCTCTCGTTGTGGGTTTGCTTTCTCCCTTTCCCATACTCCTTTTATCTCCTAGGTCTGATGGTTGAGTCTTGGCAAGGGAGAGATGCCACTCACAGTTTTTAAGCATGCTCCATGTTCCTCTCATACAGACATTGCCCCATTTGGCCTTTAAAGACATCTTGGAATTTCAGATACCTTTTAAATGTATCTGTACCATGAGGGAGTAGAGGCTGTCCCCAAAATTTACCACAAGTCTGTAAGATGGCCAATGCTGTGAAGTGCCTGGAAATTCTTGAAATAGAATTTTGCATTGATACAGGCGTTCAGCATTTAGCTGCTGTGGTTGGGAGGCTGTACTTTACAAATAAAGAAGTGGGCCCATTGTCTAGAGTTAAGATTAAGGGATTTAGAAACATGCACTTAAAAATGAATTGCTGACAGGTTGAGCGCTGGGTTGCGAAGCTGCCCGTGGCCTCTGCGGCGTCGGTTCAATCCCCGGCTGCTCCCCGGCCACCGGAGGAGGATCCCACATGGCGCACATACCTCTCCTGCTGCCCACTGCTCCCCTCAGCAGTGTTCTTCGGTCCTTCTGCCTGCTCTGCTCCCTGCTCTGGCTCTGGTGAATTCTCTCACCCTCCCGCACTTCTGACTGTACCCAGTGCATGTATAAACAAACAAACAAACAAATAAAAAAATAAAAATGCCTGTATTAAAAAAAAATGAATTGCTGACAGATAACTATCCTAAATTAAAGACAGATTCTGTTTTTCAGATTACATTCCAAGTCTGATACTATAATCTCTACTCTCTGGGCCTGCTGAATAGCAGGTTGTTTGCATTTATTAAGTTTGTATTACAAGTTACTTTTTGAAATAAAAAAACAAAATCTTGAGACAACATTGATGTGTTGAAATGGAAATGTCCCCATATATGCTAGAGCAAATAATGTATCTACCAAACGGCACATAGGAAATATCCTGTACTTCAAAGTAAAGAAGCAGACATAGAAGATTGCTTGATGGTACATGTGAATGAAATACATCATAATTATATTTCCTAGTTATATGTGCTTAAAAAAAACACTTTGGCTAAGGTAGGATTTCATTTGCTAACTTTATACTGTTAAATTACCAATTCCATATCTGCAGTAAAAAGGCATTATTTTCTTTTGTAAATTTGTGTCATGCTTAGTGAGCATCTATGTAAATGTGATTGGAAAATGATGTTTAATTCGGAAAAGTTTATATATTGCTTAAATAATTACAGAGGGATTCCATGTGGATGAAAAAGAATAAGGACATGAAGAACTATTTGCCAAAAAAATAATCCATTGGCTTCCTATGAAGTATTTCCTGAGAAGATCTGAGGTAGTTATTCATTAAGTAGATAATAGTAGATGGATTAGAAGGAATATTTTAAAATGTTAGTGTGAAAATAAATAGAAGATGTGCTCCAGAAGCTTACTGTCTTAATTGTAAAAAATTGCCTTACAGAGGAAAGAATAAAAAAAGTTTTATTGTGGTAAATGTTACAAGGATTTAAAGAACTTAGAGACCTGCATTGGGTTGCTTGCTGGCAACCTGTAGATGGCAACCTGTAGGTAACTGTTCCTGTGTTTTCATGTGGTCTTCCTGGCTGAGCATGCCTGGGTCCTAATCTCTTTTTAGAAGGACACCAGTCACATTGGATTAGGCCCCATCCTTATGAACCCATTTTAACTGGATTATCTCTTTCAAGACCCCCATCTCTAAATAAAGTCACATTTGGAGGTAGTGGGATTAAGACTAAACCTATGACTCATAATGGGTACAGTTTAGCCCATGACAAGTTTATAAAGAAGCCTGAACTATAAAACTGGTGAGAACTTATACAATGAACTGGTTCAGGCTAAGGAAGGGAGGTCACAGAGCAGGTTATTCTGTTAATTTAAGTTTTATTCTAGTAATTTGATGTTTGGGAAGAAAGGAAAAGTGCTATTTGAGGAAAAAGGCATTTTATCTTTGGTCTGAGGCTACTTGTTTTCCCTCTTACTGTGTTCCCTGGGAAATTGGTTCTTCTGGTGGACAGAGCATTAGTTTCAAGTGTTTCATAAAAGCAATGATTTTATGAAAATATTTTTTCTTCTATCTCATAGAAAAGAGTCAGCTAAAATTTTAAAGGAGGCAAAGTTTAAAGGTTATTCTTATAAATACTTCGTAATAGTTTTGGAGTCTGATTGAAATAGCAGAATTTATTCTTTAAGTCATGTTGATTAAAAAAATGTGTATTTTAATGCATGTTTTGTGGGGAAATATTTGGCAGAAATTTTCCTCCCCAGAAATTTTTCCCCCTTTTGGAAAAAGTAATTTGTATCACAAATTTAAATAAAAACTTTTAGGTGTTAATATTGTGTTTGTTTTAGAGAAATGTTAAAGCAGGGCTTTCAAATTTGGCCCTTTGAATTAAAAAGTTAAAAATTAAATTCTGCTTTTTTCTTGCTTGTGGTGATTAAATGTGTTTGGTCTAGGGAATTCTTATCTGTATCCTTCTTTTAGTTTTATTTATGTCTGTGAAAACAGCATTCTTGTTGTTTTCTTGTAAACCACTCTACCTCCAGATCTGAGATGCTATAAATAAATGCATGAAGGGAAGTGAAAAAAAAAGATACACTTGTAAGAAAGAAATAAAAACAGTGATATCAGCTACCAAAAATAAAATCTTAAGGAAAATGTCTGTTCAAGTAGTGTTGGTGATTTGACGTTGGTAGTTTGAATATATTTTGGACTATTTTACCATTTACTCTATTGCTTACATTTTAAAACTATAGCTATAGTAAAATACATAATTTTATCTTTCAATAACCTTTTTTGATGATATAAATAGTGCATTTAAAAAATAGGGACATCATGGAGAAGTTAAAGGAAGAAAACAAACTTATCTGTAATTTTATTGTCTTGGCACTACAGCCCCTCCACCAAGAAAAACACATTATATGAAGTGAGAATGGTTACATAATTTTAATATAAAAAAGTAAGGAAGTAGGGGCCTCCCTGGTGCACAGGGTTAAGACTCAACCTATGAAGCTCTGCAGCCACTGCAGCATAAGTTCGATTCCCGGCCAGCCAGGGACCAATCCACATGGTGCAGCAGACCTCTCCTGTCTCTCCTGCTGCTCCCCTCAGCAGTGTATTTCAGTCAGCCCTCCTATTCTTTTCCCCACTCTGTCTCTGGTGAATCTTCTCACCCCCCAAACCTCTGGCCTGTACCCCAGTTCTTGTATGCATAAATAAATAAATATTTTTAAAAAATAGATTGAAATTTTCTAATTTTTAAAGACATTAGATGATTAAGAAAAAAAAATATCAGGATTGAGGCTTTTCAAAGCTTTTGTATCCTACCTAGGTGAAAAGTGTAAGTGTAGTATAGTTGGTTTCAATATTGAGCCTATAGCTTTATTTTCTCCTTGCCTAATTCTCTTGCCCCACTTATGTATGTTTTGTAGTTATTATAATTTTGACAGATTTACCTATCACTGCCTGTGACAAATTGATGTGATGATCATATAGTGAACTGAATAACAGAGTAGTAATTGATGACTAGTTTCCCAAATAATTTCCAAGCCGTATATGTTACAACTAAGATTATCAAATGTATTGTTAATCAGAGAGGGGATTAACATTATTTTATAAAAACACGTTATTTGGGCTGGAGTAATTTAGATTTTTTGGTAATTCTCAACATATATTTATCTCTATGTTCTGATCACTTCATTGAAATTAAGTGGTCAAAACATCAACAATATAAAAAAAAAAAGCCCAAATTAAAAACACCATTTAAGACAGATGTGCTTGAAATGCTTTCTGGGTTATGACAAAAGTAAAAGTTGGTTTATACATTTAATATTGACCCTTAGTCCTTTGAATACCTTAGCAAACAATTAATGAATGTAGTTAAATAGTGGATGAGTTAATTAAGAAAGAAAATTCAGAGAGAAAATACCAGTTGTCAAGATGACTCTAGTGAGTCCTACTGAGTTACATAGGGTATAAAAATATGTAGCCTGCTATATTATCTGTGAATTAGTTATCATAGGACTTAATTGGTCCATGTTTATCTAACGTGAAAAAGGTTCATGTTGAGAAAGTTTCATATCAGTTTGGATTTCTGTATATAATTTTCCCTTATCTGAACTGCCAGGAATCATTACAGCAAGATGTAAATTGTCTTTTTGCGCTTTCCCCCATGTTCTCAGCCGTGTAGACCACCAATGACTGACAAGTTTAGTAATTGATTTAGACAGTGACTTCTCTTTCCTGTCAGAGGAATGCAGTTTCCCCTCTAGACATTCTTAAGTACAGTGTATGAAAAGTGCTGATTTTATTGTGTACAGATTTTATTTGTGTAGATGATCTACACATGAATTTGTTTTGGTTTAGCATGGAGTAAGAGAGGTCATTAAGAAAGGATCATGGGGGCCTCCCTGGTGGCGTAGGCAGTTGAGCACCACTCTGTGAGGCTGTCTTCAGCCTCTGCAGCGCCGGTTGGATCCTGGCCGACTGGGGAGGGTCCCACATGGCATGGCAGACCTCTCCTGTCTCGCCCTCTGCTCCCCTCAGCAGTGCATTTCGTCAGTCTGCCTGTTATATTCCCTGCTGTGTCTCTGGTGACTCCTCACACCCTCCCGCGCATCTGACCTGTACAATGGTTCTTGTATAAATAAATAAATCTTAAAAAAAAAAAAGCATGATGGCCAATTTTACTTTTTTTATATATATACAGCTCCTTCCGTATATGCAGATTTATTTCATCTGGAAGCTTGCTGGAATGTTTTTGATTGCGCTAGGACTTTTAATTTATCTCATTGATCATTGTTTGATGCCTAAGATATTTTGATATCTTATTCAATTTGACCTTATTAAGATTATTTTCCAGAAGTAATTTGTTTTCAGATTGGTATAGGAACCAAAGTGATAGCAAATAAGTCTTATTAATATCAGCTAAATAAATGGTAACATTATACCTTGCTTTAGTGTGTTGGCTATAGTGAGTGATTACAAATGCAGTACTTAAGAGTGCTTGAGCATGAGAGATCTTTAATTTAACCACCAAATAATTCTTAAATATTACATTATGTTTATAAGTGTGTATTTGCTGTTTCCAACCTCAATTCTCCCCTCTTATCTGTACCTTCTTCCTGATTTATACCTTTTATTTTCAACAAAACCTAGAGGTGAGTGATTCCCTGTTTTTATATATAAAATTTCTTTTGTCAGATGCACATGTATATTTGATTCATTGTTTTTCAACAAATACTTGACTGCCTACGGGGGGTCAACCACAGTTTTTGGTGTGGAAGATTCATCCCTATGAGAAAAAGTAACCGAATAAGTAAGTGAAAAAACAAAAACAAAATCCAGCAAAAATCTGACATCTGGTTTTACTATCCTTCCTATTTCATGGGACTGAAGTTCTAATATTTCCTTTTTTTTTCCTAGAGACATTTAAAGCTCAACATGTTCAAGAGAAATGTTTCTACCCTTTTCTCTAAAATCAAATGACATCTCTCTACTGTTCTTTACACTAATAAAGTCCAATATTTTTAGTTTCTTAGATTAGAAAAATTTTTTATAAGGATCTTTTGTTTTAATATTAGGATCTTTTTTTTTTAAGATTTATTTATTCATGCGTACAAGAACCTGGGTACAGGCCAGATGCACAGGAGGGTGAGAGGATTCACCAGAGACAGAGTGGGGAACAGAACAGGCAGACTGACTGAAATACACTGCGAAGGGGAACAGTGGGAGAGTCAGGAGAGGTCTGCTGTGCTATGTGGGTTTCTCCATGGCCAGCGGGGATCGAACCTGCACTGCAGAAACTGTGGGCAGCTTCATAGTGCTGCACTCAACTGCCTGAGCCACCAAGGGAGGCCCTCAGATTAGAAATTTTGAGTCAGTCTCTATTGCAGTCACTCACTCATTCGGCCTCCCTCCCAACACATATCTAGTGAGTATTGAATCCTTTTGATTTCTCTAATGAATGTGTCTATGCTTCTGCTCATGTTTCTTGTTACTGCTTTAATGTAGGCCCACGTGCTTTATGCTGATCTGTTGTAACTGGCTAACATCTGGTGTTACTATCATTTGTTCCTTTTTCCTTTGGTGAATTTTTTTAAAGATTTATTTGACTTATTTGTGCATACAAAAACTGGGCGGTTAGGCCAGAGATGCTGGGGGTGAGAGGATTCACCAGAGACAGAGTGGGGAACAGAACAGGCAAATCTACTTAAATACACTGCTGAGGGGAGCAGTGGGTGTGACAGAGGTCTGCTGCTCCATATGGGTTAGCTCCCTGGCCAGGGATTGAACTCAGGCTGCAGTGACTGGTGATA